ACGGAAATAAAGAAAAAAGTTCTTTTTTAAAAAAAACAATTAGAAAACAATGTAGACAAAAAGCATATTATGGGTATAATTTGGGGTGTGTATGTAATATTAATTTCAATGTTTATAGCCCTGATGTTTGCACTTTAATTTTTCATTATGCTTATTTAGTTGAGGCTTGGGTGTGACCAGAACAGTTGCTTCCAATTGGATGTGACCTGATTGGATTTGACCTCATATTTAAAAAGGCATTTGGTCATCAATTTGGGGCTGCTTTCCAGTATGGGAAGATGAGGGGAACAGCTGGACTTAATTGTTTTCAGCCAAACATTCTTCTAAGTATAATAGCCCTGGTCTGTCAGTTTGCTATGCAAAGATAACTCGTGGTTGCTCCTGATGGTAAACACTGTGACACTAATGTGTGAAATGTGATAATAGTTACCCATGGTGGACAGTGTTTGGTGGTGGTGGTGTTTGTGTGCAGTTGAGTCACCTGCGACTCATAGTGACCCTATATACAACAGAACCAAACTCTGCTCTTTCCTGTGCCTATCTCACTGTCTCTGACACATCTACCCCCATTACGCCAGTAACTGAATCAGTTCATCTCATAGAGGGTCTTCCTCTCCTGTGCTATCCCTCCAGCCTCCCAAGCATGACGTCCTCCAAGGACTGATCCCTTCTTGCAATATGTCCAGAGTATGTCAGACGAAGCTTCAGAATCCTTGCCTCCAAGGAGCAGCCTGGTTTAACCCTCTCTAGGATGAACTTGTTCATTTCCTTAGCAGTCCATGGTATATTCAGTACTCTTCTGTAACACCACAGCTCATATGCATTAATTCTTCTTCTATTATCCCTAGTCATTGTCCACCTCTCTGATCAATAGCAAGTGATTACAAAGACCATGGCCTATATCAGGCACACCTTACTCTCCAGAGTGACACCATTTCTCTTCAGTACTTTGGAGAGGTTCCTAACAGCAGACTTTCCCATTGCAATACATCTTTTCATTTCCTGGCTGCTGGTGCCAAGAGTGTTGACCATGGAGCCAAGCAAACTAAAACTGTGAACAATCTCAATCTTTCTCTTTAAAAAAATAATTATTATTTTTATTTTGTGTGTACCGTCAAGTCGGATCTGACTGGTACAGGAGGAGATTGTCCCTCCTTCTCCAGCAAAGCATCTGGTGGATTTGAACCACACACCTCTGGGATTGCAGTACAGCTTCTTGCCACCAGAGCTCACCCAATCTTAATCTCTTTACCATCCATCCTGATGCTGCCAGTGGGTCCAGTGGTGAGCATCTTTGTCTTCCTGATACTGAGCCTCAATCCATATTGAAGGCTGCAGTCCTTGACCTTCTGCAGCAAGCGCTTCAGGTCCTCCTCAATTTCAGCAAGCAGGATTGTGTCATCTGTATAACACAGGTTGTTGATGAATCTTCTACCAATGCTGATGCCATACTTCTCATACAGGCCAGCCTCCTGGATAATCAGTTCTCCGTACAGGTTGAAAAGGTATGGAGACAGGACACATTCCTAGTGTATGCCCTTCCCAATTTTGAACCATGCAGTGTTTCCTTGCTCTGTTCTGATGACTGCCTCCTGGTCCAAGTGTAGATTTCACATTAGCACGATCAGGTGTTCTGAGATTCCCATTCTTCTCAGAGTCAGCCACAGTGTGTTATGATTCACACAGTCAAACGCATTTGCATAATCAATGAAACACAGATAGACATTCCTCTGGTACTCCCTGCTTTCAGCCAAGATCCATCTAACATTAGCTATAATATCCTTAGTACCACAACCCCTTCTAAACCCAGCCTGGACTTGTTTGGTGGAGCTCTCAAATTAAAACAAGCTTGAAAGCAGGAGTGGCATCCACTTTAAATAGCTTGCCTCTGGAAACTCTATGAACTTAGAGAAATTATGAAAGTTAAACAAGTGTTCAGGTCTTTTGTTCAGAAGGTCACTATGAGTCATCTACAACTTAACAGCACTTAACACAGTACAGCGTTTTAGTACAACCATGCTTTCACTGACAGGATACTGAAATAGAAGGTATATGTTAGTTGGTAATTTATATCCATATAATCTAAATAAATCTAGAAATATATGACTCATATCTACATACATTTAAAATATTTTAAATGATTCTGTCAGAGTATATTATAAGCAATTTCATTCCTGAGGCAAGTTGAGTATACTTTTATTTTTACAAAAAATGTGTAGGATTCTCCGTTAGCTTATACTTTTGTATCTTTTTAAAGAATCCTCATGGTTAAATAATTTCAGCCATGAAAACTAAGGATGTGCAATCCAGCCCTTCATTGCCTTAAGCAACTTCTTGTTTTTAATAGTGAGTATTTAAGAAAAAAAATTAATAGTACACTTTTTAGAAAAGAACCTAAAGGGAAGGTGAAGAACAACTTTAAAAAAAGTAAAATTTGGTGGTTTACCTTCTGTCCCTTTCTTTCTTCATTTGTTTCTAAGTTGGGATAATTTTTCATGTAGGAACATACTGTTAACAATTTATATACCAAGATAGTAAATCCATCATTTCAAAATAACCACTCTATCTATATATACCATAATGCATTTGTCCATTTTAAAATTTATGAATGTTTTGTCAGTTTCTAAGCAGTCCAGATAAGAGTAATTTATAGTGTGTTGTACAGCTAACCAAAAGATCAGGACTTTGAATCTACCAGGTTCTCCATGAGAGAAAAATGAGTGGTCTCTTCCCAGTAAAAATTAAAGCCTTAGAAAACTGATGGAGGTTCTCTGTGAGTCTGACTTGCCTTGGTGGCACTGGGTTTAGAATGTTCATAGGATTTTTTTGTTTGCTTTTCAACATAACTAATTCTGAGGTCATTATTAGAGTAAGTCTTTATGTGTCTCCCTAACAACTCCTTTAGATTAATCCTGGAAAGTGAAAATTCTGTGTAAAAAAATACAGACTTTAAAAAATCTTTTATACCATAATTACCAACAATAAATCAAAGTGCAAATTTCATTACACATTATCTAAAACTGAGTACTATTGTTACTTTTATTGACAAAATTGTTACTTTTTAAAAGATTTTTAAAAATGTGTATCTTCATTAAAGTAGAAAGAAGTAGGATTCTTGACAGTCCCTAAATAGTAATAAGCTAATTAATAAAAGTATCAAAACCAAACAAAGAGTTGATCTTGACTCTTGTTGGAAGTTGGTACTGACCAATTGCTGACCTTCCAGCAGATTTTCAGAGACAGTAAATTGAATAGGAGGAGTTTGACCAGACTTCTCCTGCAGAGCAGATTTGTACTGCTGGTTTTAGGGATTGAAGCACGGCTTCTTACCCGTAGGCCACCAGAGCTCCCTTTTCCTGAGTTTTCAAGACTATAAATAATTATAAGAGAGACTCATTTTTCCTTCTCAGATCTTTTAGCTTAAAATGCTACATATTATGCCACCATGGCTCCTTAATAATACATGTCTCTCCAAATAAATTATTAAGACCAAATATCTAGTCTTGATCACTTTTTTTCTTTCATCACTTTTAATAGACAATTTATCTGTCTCTTGTTTCATTGACTATGGAAAGGCATTTGACTACGTGGATCACAACAAATTGTGGCTGTTGCTGTTATTGTTGTTGTTATGTGCCGTCAAGTCATTTGCATATCATAGTGACCCAATGTAAAAGAGCCCTAAACTCGGTTCTGTGCTGTGCCAATCTCACCGTCTCCGACACACTTACTCCCACCACCCCAATCTCAGAATTGATCCATCTCATCGAGGGTCATCTTCTCCTGCGCTGTCCCTCCATTCTCCCAAACATGATGTCCCTCTCCAAGGACTGGTCCCTCATCGCAACATGTCTGAAATATGTCAGAGGAAGCTTCAGAATCCTTGCCTCCAAGGAGCAACCTGGCTTCACCCTCTCCAGGACAAAACTTTTTGTTCTTCTAGCATGGTATATTTAATCCTAGAACACTCGATTGTGCTTATGCAAAACCTATACTTGGACTAGGAGGTAGCCCTTAGAACAGAGCAAGGAAACACGACATGGTTCAAATCAGGAAAGGAGTTCCTCGGGGATGCATCCTGTCTCCACACCTTTTCAATCTATATGCAAAACAGATCATTTGGGAAGCTGCACTTTATGAGGAGGAATGTGGCATCAGGATTGGAAGAATAATCAACAAGCTGTGTTATACAGATGAAACAAGCTTTATTGCTGAAACTGAGGAGGACCTGAAGCATTTGCTGTAGAAGGTCGAGGACTGTAGTCTTCAATATGGGTTGAAGCTCAACATCAGGAAGACAAAGATTCTTACCCTTGGGCCAGTTGTCATCACCATGATAGATTGAGGTTATTAACAATTTCAGCTTGCTGTTTTCCACAGTCAACACTCTTGGCACCAGCAGTCAGGAAATCAAAAGATGAATTGCATTGGGAAAATCTGCTGTCAGGAATCTTTCCAGAGTACTAAAAAGCAGTGATGTCAGTCAAGAGACTAAGGTGCACCTAATCCAGGCCATGGTCTTCACCATTACTTACTATGCATCAGAGATCTGGACAGTGACTATAAAGATGACAGAAGAAGAATCAGTGCATTCGAGTTGTGGTTCTGGAGAAGTATTTTACATACCATGGACTGCCAAGAAAACAAATAGGTCTGTCTTGGAGAGGGTGTAACCAAGTTTCTTCTGTTTTACATACTTTGGGCATGTGGCCAGGAGGACATCTTGCTTAGAAGGGTGGAGGGATGGCTCAGGAGAGGAAGACCTCCAGATGAGATGGATTGATACAGTGACTCAGGCAGTGGGGTTGGGTGTGTCAGAATCAGTAAGATTCTCAATACAGGGCAGGCTTCAGAGCTGTTGTACATAGGATCACTATGCGTTGCAAGTGACTCGATGGCACATAAAAACAACATTGCTTTGCAGATCCATGTCACTATACATTTTTATACCTATTAATATCATACATAGCATTCATGTTAACTTTTCTTTTTTATTACAGAATAGTAAACCAGGGACAAAATGGAAGGTTATGACTCAGGAATTTATCAATCAACACACAGTGGAACACAAAGGAAAACAAATTTGTAAATACTTTCTGGAAGGCAGATGTATTAAGGTAAATATATAGTGGTATCTTGTTATTTAAATTTTCAAAATAATCATTAAAATTGATGTAACTGCTAGAGTGATTTTTATGTAGTCATTTTAAAGAGGACTCTGGTTCTTGAAAGGGTATTTTGTATGGACACACACCACATTGTCCACTGAGCTCTAGTATTATATTTTGAGACAACAATAAAATGCTTTGAAATTAGAATTTATTTGACAAAAACATAAATGCTAACTCTATTGTAGATATTTTTCTAGTGCATTATTAATTTTAAATAACTTGCAGCAGCCCACCCAAGTAGTTGCCGTTTTCTCCTCAATTTGTTTATAGCACCAAAAGTGAATAATTCCAAAAGAGATTTACTAGAAATGATGAGTACTGGTAGGGCATAAACAGTATCTGTAGTGGCTGTGCTCTTTCCCACTTTTATCATATTACCTCTCTCCATATAGACTTAGCTACATCCACTGTCTTAGGCAAGAATTCTTAGAGAATGCTTGAATCATTGATTGTTGAAAGATTGGAAGTATGAAAAAGTTACACTGTGTAGTACTATGGAGAAGATTCAACTTATTTGACATATTTCATTGTTTCTATTTATTATTTCTCTCTTTCCCCCACCCCTCTTCTTGTGAACAGGGAGATCAGTGTAAATTTGATCATGATGCAGAGTTGGAGAAGAGGAAAGAGATATGCAGATTTTACTTACAAGGATATTGCACCAAAGGAGAGAACTGCATTTATATGCATAATATCCTTTTGAAATCCATATGTGAAATTCATTAGTCAGGATATTAATACTTCAAAAATAATGAATATAATATAGAAAACCTAGTTTAATTTGAATTTAAAATAACATTTTACATAAGCTCATTTGTACTTCAAAAGGGCAACTTGAATTTTATTCTGAAGGGATAATGGAGTCAGGAGATCTAAGAAATAAAGGCACTTTATATTTAAAATAATTAAAAGTATTTCAAGCACCTATACTTTTTAAGAGACATAAACGTAGGTTATACACATGGATTTCACCTGATGGTATTCATAGGAATCAGATTGATTACATCTGCAGAAAGAACCGCTGGAGAAGCTCAACTCATCTGTGAAAACTAGGCCATGAGCTGATTGTGGAACAGACCACCAACTACTCATATACAAGTTCAAGCTGAAACTGAGGAAAATTAAATCCACAGGAACCAAAATATGACTTTGAGTCTATCTTACCTGAATTTCAGAGCCATGTCAAAACAGGTTTGAGGACTTGAAGACTAATGAGCAAAGACCAGATGAGTTGTGGGAGGATAACAAGGGTATCATCCAGGAAGAGGGCAAACGGTCATTACAAAGACAGAGAAGAAAGAAAAGACCAAAATGGATGTCAGAAGACACTCTGAATATTGCACTAGAGCACAGAGAAGCCAAAGCAGAAGGAAGAATTCAAGATACTAAAGAGTTGAACAGAAGATTTCAAAAGGCAGTGTGGGATGAAAAAATAAAATATTATAAATGAAATGTGCAAGGAGCTGGAGTCAGAAAATCAAAAGGGACGAACTCGTTCAGCATTTCTTTTTTTTAAATTCTATTTTATTATTTTTGCATGTGTACCATCAATTTGGATCTGACTGGTACGGGGGGAGATAGATTGTTCCTCCTTCTACAGCAGACCATCTGGTGGATTTAAACTACATACCTCTGGGGTTGCAGTGCAGTTTCCTGCTACTCGGCCATCAGATATCTCGTTCAGCATTTCTTAAGCTCAAGGAACTGAAGAACAAATTTAAACCTTGAGTTGCTATAATCAAGGATGCTTTAGGGAGACTATTAAATGATCCAGGAAGTATTCAAAGAAGATGGAAAGAATATACTAAGTCACTGTATCAAAAGGAATTGGCAGACACAGAAGAATTTAATGAAACAACATATGAGCAAGAGATTGTAGTGATGAAGAAGTTCAAGCTGCTTTGAAGGAAAAGGCAAAAAATAAGGCCCCAGGAATAGAAATATGCCAGTTGACATATTTCAACTAACAGATGTTGCCCTGGACTTGCTTACCAAATTGTGCCAAGAAATTTGGAGAACAACCACTTGGCCAACTGACTGGAAGAGATCTATATTTGTCTCCATCCCAAGGAAAGGTGACTTAACAGCGTGTGGAAACTATAGAACAATCTCACTGATTTCACATGCAAGCAAGATTCTACTGAAGATTATCCCAAAACGACTGGAACAGCACATCAGCAGAGAATTGCCAGAAGTCCAGGCTGGGTTTAGAAGGGGTCATGGTACTAGGAATATTGTAGCTGATGTTAGATGGATCTTAGCTGAAAGCAGGGAACACCAGAGGAATGTCCATCTGTGTTTCATTGATTATGCAAAGGCATTTGACTGTATAGATCATAACAAACTGTGGCTGACTCTGAGAAGAATGGGAATCCCAGAACACTTGATCGTGCTAATGCGAGACCTATACTTGGACCAGGAGGCAGGTGTCAGAACAGAGCAAGGATGGTTCAAAATTGGGAAGGGCGTACACCAGAGATATGCCCTGTCTCCATACCTTTTCAATCTGTATGCAGAACAGATTACCTGGGAGGCTGGGTTCTGTGAGGAGAAATGTGGCATCAGCATTGGTGGAAGGAAGAGCTATCAACAGTCTGCATTATGCAAATGAGACAATCCTGCTAGCTGAAACTGAGGAGGACCTGAAGCGCTTGCTGCAGAAGGTCAAGGACTGCAGCATCAAGAAGACAAAAATTCTCACCACTGTACTAATTGGCAGCATCAGGATGGATGGTGAAGAGATTGAGATTGTTCACAGCTTTAGTTTGCTTGGCTCAATAGTCAACACTTCTTGGCACCAGCAGCCAGGAAATGAAAAGAAGTATTGCAATGGGAATGTTTCCTGTTAGGTACCTCTCCAAAATAACTGAAGAGCAGTGGTGTCTCTCTGGAGACTAAGGTGCTTCTGATACAGGCCATGGTCTTTGCAATCACTTGTTATGCATCAGAGAGTTGGACAATGACTAGGAGGACAGAAGGAGAATTGATTCCTTTGAACTGAAGTGCTGGAGAAGAGTATTGAATGTACCCTGAACTGCTAAGAAAACAAACAGATTCATCCTGGAGAGGGTTAAACCAGGCTGCTCCTCGGAGGCAAGGATTCTGAGGCTTCGTCTGACATACTTTGGACATGCTGTAAGGAGGGACCGGTCCTTGGAGAGGGACATCATGCTTGGGAGGTTGGA